CAACGAATGTCGTTATTCTTTGTTATTCAAATTCGTGAAGAGAACAAAATAAACAAGATTCGCCTTGTCTTAAGTGAAAAAACAACAATTAGTTATTCCAATTCTAGTCTTTAGTTAACGCAAGATACTATGTGAAATTGATTAATTTAAAGTTTATTTTAGGTGATCAAGCAACACTAATAATTAGTTGATTAAAAGTTGTTTAAGCAAGAAAAGAAAGGAGGTTTATTTAAGTGCTCGGGATTTTACCACTTTTCCTTGCTGGATCTTCGTTTAGAACACTTATGGACTCCTTCTTGTTCGAGAACCTCCACCGTAAGAACAAATAATAAAAAAGGGTGAGCGTTTGGGACAAGGGGATGATTAGTGCATAAGCTCACAAGTTTTTACTTACTTCTTAGGTTAATTTATGTATCTTTCAAAGCTCGTATTGAACCCCTATTTATAGGGAATGGGTGAGTTTAGGGTTTTGAACAGTCTACCGCAGCAGGTGGCGCGCGCAACTCAATAGGTTGCGCGCGGCTGCTGTGCGCAAGTGATTAAGCTGCTTTATGGTAAGATTCGATTCAGTATATTTATGAAATTCTGAATCTTTTGCAAGCGCACCACTGGAGGTTACGCTAGGTGTCATGCGTAACCTTCTGTGTTGCGCGCGCCAGGCCAGTACAACTCCTTGAGTTGCGTGCAGTTTTTCCTGTGGCAGCCCTAGATTTTAACCTAGGCGCTTCTAAATCTATCAAAATTAGGTTTAATCTCGGGATTAGGTCTAATTGCTGATCGGGCTTAGTATTAACATGCTTTAGTTCATTTTATTTTGGGTCAAGCTAGTTAGGTTATGTGTTTAGGCTTTAATCAATAATCCATAAGGATTCTTCACTGCAATCCAACACAAAGATGGACATATTTATCGTCATAGCACTTTCGGTCGGGATAGTGGACTAAAAAGTAGATGTCTACAACTTTAATTTTAGCCTTTTTTAGATTTTCGATAAGCCTTCATTTGGGTTTTTTCTTCTCGTAGGGCCTTTATGTTTTGGAGTTCCTCTCTAAATTTCTCCAATGTTGCTTTGTCACCCATGATTGGACTAAGATTTGAATGTGGAATATGATCAAGTAATGTGTATCACGAGAACTTGAGCGCGTTCACTTAAAACCTTTTCTGCCAAGCATTCAAATAATAAACAAAAGTAAAAAAAAAAAATATCGTTTTTATTTTTCCTTCTAATACGAATTCACTTTAAGCAAGTTTGTTGATGGAAAATGTCAATAAATTCATGAACATTTATTAATGGAATGTCATGATTTATGTTGACTTCAACAAGGTATTCATCTAAGGATTTCACTTTAGGTGAACTGTTTTCGAAAAAGGTAGAAGAAAATGAAAAGGGAAGTTGGATTGAAAAACGCTCATCTACTTTTTAGAAATACTAATCAACCCGAATGAACTCCTTAAAATGATCAATATACTAGATTGTGGTATTTGTTGATCATTTAGATTTCAATAGAGATCTTTTTTTTTTTTTTTTTTTTTTTTAAGATTCTTATATTGCTCATCTTTAAAGGATAAATACTATTGGTTTAAATAGAATGGTTGCCTCCGAACGTAAAATCCAAGAAATAATTAAATTATTTTCTCGGATTTATCACTCATTCTTTTTTTTAGTTGACAATAATTTTTTTTAGTTTCTCTTTTTGTATCATACTCTTTTTTTTTTTTTTTTTTTTTTTTTTTTTTTGTGAGGCAATTATCCCAAGTAAGGTTCTCAAGATTTTCTTTTTAATCCATAGAAGAGTTAAATAAATTATACTCTTAAATCAAGGTTAATTAATTATAACTAAAAGATGATGACCATGAAAAATAGTCATGTTTAGGAGTGGGAATATTGATGATGTACTTTAAGGGTATGTGAACTTCCAATGATGAACTGTATAAGAGGTAATTCCATTAGTTCAATTAAAAAGTATGTAAACAAATCATCATAATCGAAAATAGTATTGCGCGCAATTTTCCGTCTTGCGCTAAGGTGGAGAGTGCAACTTAGATAGTAGAGCCATCCACATGCGTTTTATTTTTATTTTTATTTTTTGCGAAAATTAAGGATAACGCAAGAATTTTTTTTTTGAATTTTGAAAATAAGAGAAGATAGAAGACATGTTTTTGGGAAAAAAAAAATTTAAAAAGTAAAAAAAAAAAACTATTAAAAAACATGTTTTTTTGGAATTTTTTTTTTTTTTATAAGAAAAGAAAAGACTAATGAAGTAAAAGCAACTAAGTTAGACAACGTTGTTAGCTAAAGAGATATTATTAGCACCTACTTAACGATTAACCTTGAAGCGGTAAGATCGTTTTTTCCCGTATAACATTGCTCGTAACGAGTAAAAGTTAACATTGAACAGTGGGCGCGCGCAAGACTTTGAGTTGCGCGGAAGAGCCGCGCACAAATTCTGGATTTGCGCTTGGAGGGGCGCGCAACTTTGACAGTTGCGCGCACCACCTGGCAGGTTTGACTTTTTTTTTTTTTTTTGGTAAATTGAAATGCAGAATTTTTTTATTTTTTTTGTCGAGCCACTTTTTTTTTTGCCAATTTTTCAATATCTCTAGGTAACAAGTTGGAATTTTATTAAACTATACATGAGGAATATAAGCACATTGTCATGTAGTCACATAAGCACATAAAAGGAACCGTCAAAGCATATATGCCATTCTATGGTCAAGGCTTGGGTGTCAAAAGGTACCATATCTTAAGAACGATGTATGAATCAATCACTCAACGTGTTGACATATGGCATGATTCTCCTAACATTTTGCTGGCGCTATGGGTGAGAGGATTGTTATTGATTTTGGGATAGAAGTCTGGTGTTGGCGACCCCTAGTCAATGAGCCAATCCCCAATGGTTAAAGTGTGCTATGATTATGCATGATGCAATGTTGCTTATTTGGCTTTTACTCTTGTGAAAAAGGAAGATATTATGCATTTAAGTCTCGTTCTCTAACTAGAGATTATCCAAGTTAGCCTTCATTATAACTCATAGGTAACCTAAGTTGGAAACCTTGAACCATAACCAAAAAGCTAATCTTGTAACCTCTAAGTCCCCAGTGGAGTCGCCACTATGAGGAGGGTAGCTCGTCGTTGGGGATCCCACTTCCTATATGCCCATGGCTCTTTAAAAGCCTAGAACTTTACACTTTTGAAGGTGTATTAGGATTTGAATTCCTGACTGTTTGGGGGATCTTGAATTAGAATTGATTCTATCATTACGCTTTTTTGTAAGAAACTAATAAGGAGTTGCCAATAAGTTTTAGGAAAACTCATAAACCTCATTCATACCTTTCTCCCAAGTAGTGTTCAAGGGATAATTAGCATGAATCATAAGTTTACCCATGCCCAAATTGGTCTACTAAACCAGAAATGAGTTCGGGAGCGAGGATACTAAGATAACGTTCCTTTTTTGAGGGGAATCGCCATCCTAGCCCTAGTGCAGCTTCTACTAGCTATTCCTTTTTCACAATTTCATTACCAAACAATATATGCAACATGGTACCTAAAACTAAGTTAATTGATTTTATTTACAAATATTAATCACAAAAAGTCTACATTGCAACAAATGTCAATATTCTTTTGTAATTCAAATTCGTGAAAGGAATACGAAATAAACAATATCCGCTTTGACTTAGGTGATAAAACAACAATTTAATTATTCGATTCTAGTCTTTAATAAACGTAAGATACTATGTGAAATTAATTAATTCGAGTTTATTTAAAGTGATCAAACAACACTAATTAATTGATTAAAGTTATTTTAAACAAGAAGAAAAATGTGGTTGATCTAAGAGCTCAGAAAATTAACTATTCTCCTTAGTTTTCTAGATCTTGTTTTGGATGTTTATGGACCTTCCTTCTTCTCCGTACCTCCAAGGCTTCAATGGAATAAATTAGGGTTGGAGAGTATTTCGGAAGATAGGGGAAAAGTAGTATGATAGCAAGAGAGTATGAGAGATTAGGGATTTAAGAGTTTAGGGTTTTTAATTCTGAATTTTTTTTTTGTGATTAGGGCTCTAATGAAGACCCCTATTTATAGGCATAGGAATCTAGGTTTAGGATTTCAGAGCCGCGGCGTCAGGTGGCGCGCACAACTCTCAGAGTTGTGCTGGAGTGCCGAGCGCAACTCTAAGACAGGCGCGCGGCAGGCGCTCGCAACTTTGAGAGTTGCGTGCGGTGCGATTTGTCTTATACGAAAACGCGTTTATAAAACGTCCATAACTTTTGATTGTGAAGTCGGATTAAGGCAAAATAATATATCATTGGGAAGCTCTAAATGTATAATTTTTAATACAGTTTAAATTAGGTTAAAACCTGTTATGGATCAAAAGATATGGCTGTTTGAGTGCAAGGGTGTCAGTTTTAAGGCCCAGTTTAGTATTTTGATGATAATTTCTTCGTTTTAGATCGGAATTAGGCTTATAATATACCGTTGGAAAGCTCTTTGAAAGGGCTATCGAACTGTATAGGCCTTGAACGGATATTGAGTGGTTAAATTTTCTATTTGGCTCGATTTTTAACAATGTAAGACCTATTTGATCTAATCATTGCATATGACGCATTTAGGTCCGTTAATATTCAAGATTAAACATATATGAACATGTTTTAGTCCTAATTAGTACTCTAAATAGGCTCTAAGATAATTTGGTCTCAAATGTAGGTTCTAACTTACTTAATATTGTATTTCAAAGTCCATTAACACTTCAACTTTAATCTAGCATAAAGAACGAGTTTTTGTAACATCATCGCACTTCCCGTCGGGACAAGAGGCCAAGAGAAGGTGTCTACAAAGGGCATAGCCAGGTTCAGCACAACATGATTGGGGACCTTGTAATGAACAACACGAGGATGATCAGTAGGGAAGTTATGTTGCTCAGCATCCCCAGCGCTGTCAACCATAGCCCAAAATGTCTGAAAGCGAGCCTGCTGCTCGTCACGTGGCCCATATAAACGATTCACTCAGCGGGCTGTAGCTTCCCAGCCCCCATCATGATGATCAGTGAGTAGCTTGTTAAAAGCAGGCGAGAGGGCAAAGGATTTGAGTGCTTCCTTCTTAGCAGCACTACGCTCACCATCCTGTTCAGCCTGCAACCGAGACACCTTGGCCTCCAATGACTGCACCTTAGCTTGGGCAGAATCCAACTCCGTCTCACAGTCTTTCAGTTTCCTTTTGAGGGGCTTGAAATCCTATAGGTGAAGTTGAAGGGTATCCGCTCTCTCTTTTTGCGGACCCAGCTCACCAACTATTGCAGCCTTCTCAGAACAAACTCGCTCAATCTCCCATTCCTTTTTAGCCAAAGTAGCACTCTGATTTTGATATGCCCTCTCCGTAGAAATCAAAGAATTAGCTAATTCCCCAACAGACTTGGTGAGCTGCAAAATGACAAAGAACAAATAACGATAAGTTATAAAAAAACAAAATAAGCAGGGAAAAGGGACAAGAGAGACAAAAAATAGAAGAACAACAAAGAATGGAAGAGTAGAAGTAAAGCAAACAAACCTTCTGGAGGTTGTGGCAAGTAGTGGCAGCTAGAAGACTGACAAAACTGCTGGTGGGAGTCAGTAGGCAGCCTGATACCTTGAGTAAGACGGTATCCTAGAGTGCCACCCTGCTGTGGGTTGTCCACAAAGAGGGACTCATCAGCCCAGACAAAAAGGTGCATTCTCAGCCCCAGCTGTGCATAGAATAGGACGTAAAGCAGCGTCAATAAGCACCTCCCCAAACTCCATAGGCCCAGTAGGGCGGAAGGTGCCACCGGCAGACCGAGAAGTCGTCGAGAGCGGATTTTCAAAAGCATCACCCAGGATTGGTGAACAAAACGATTGAGCTCGCTGGAATTATGGGTCCTAACCTCTTTCGCAGCATTTTCGCCAAGAAGGCCAGTGTTAGAGGAATGGGAGGTAAGAGGATCCAAATTAGAGGAGGTGCGAGCCCTCTTGGCAGTAGGCTGCTCGTCAGTAGCAGTGGGGAAGACAGAGGGATCCTCCAGGTCTATAAATTGGGGGGGCCCGTTGTTGTGCTCCAGCAAACTGAGAATGACGACCCCGACTGGCGCTTCGCAAACGACCTAGAAGCCTAAAAGGACGAGGAGTAATTCTGGGAAGCTCCGTAATAACATCACTAGGAAGCTCAAATCCAGTAGTTTGATCAGGAGGAACAACAAATTCTTTGGCAGCAATAGAAGTGCCAATACTAGTCGTAGAGAGCAAAACATGCTCAGCAGAAGGTGTGGGTTTCTCACCCACCGCAGCATCAACCTCAACCCCTGTTTCAGGGGGGAAATTAAGAACGTTGTCAACAAAATCATCGACATTATCATCTTTACTATCAATAAAAGCTTGTTTCTCTTGCTGATTTACTTGGGAGGACCGAGGTGCTACCTAGCCGGAAGCCTCAGCAGGGTCCTTCGCAGTAGACGAAGCTCCCCGTGCCATTAACGCCTCAGATCCCGAAGTAACGTCTCTCGACTCAGCAGTAACGTCCCTCGGCTAGTTTTGAGGTGCCCGTTGACTTCCTACAATAGAAGAAGAAGGCTCAGCTTCAGTCTTACTTGGTTCAGAGAGATCTGTGGGAGTTACAATTCCAAAGACATATCTCAGCTTAGCTGGAGCCAAACGGATTTCACCCTTCAATGCGCCAACGCGAACCTCCAAAGTATCAAAAAGTTCAGGGGGTTATCAAGAGTGGCAGTAATAGGGTCCTTCTAATTATCCTTTAGACCAAGAAGCCACCTATCCATTTGTCATAACCCGACACAGCAGTGAAAAACAACAAAAAATTATAAGGCAAGGGAAGGCAAAGGTGAGTAGAAAAACTCTAAAAACAAAGTAGGAGAACACATACCAGACTCATTAATAGAGGACAAGCGCATGGCAAAAAGTTGTGCGTTGCCAACAATATAAAGTGAGTTAGGTAGCCAGACCTTGGTAAACCTAGAGTCACCAGTATCAGCCCCCTGCAGCGCATCGTAAGCCTATGTCTCTTTGGCAGTGTCAGAAGGGGCAACGGTAACACCAACCATGTTAGTACGATCCACCCTGAAAATACTTGGTATAAAAGATGAGGGAACGGACACCAAGAAGAACTTGCTAGTCCAGTCTCGAAAGCAGCCAATCTTCGGGTAAGACAAAACCCTTCATCTTTGTGAGCCACGTAGTACTAGCCAGACTCAGGAGAGCTGGATGAAATCTGCTTCAAGCTCGTCAAGGAATTTAACAGATTCAGTGATTCAGGGTAGTGCATGAAGCGCAAAAACCACAACAAGAAGATCGGCGTATGAAGAGAAGCAGGATGGAGCAGGGAAAGACAAAGGTTGAAGGCACGAAAAACCTTATCCAAAGTAGGGTCCAAAAGAAAGCGTAGACCCAAATCTAGCTGCAAGGAAAAACAACAATGTGCCCATTAGGAGGGGCAGAGAACTTTAAGCCCTCAGCACGAAGGATCAGCTGGTACTCTGACCCGAATCCATAGAATTCCTAACCTAATCTCGGCAGATCCCACCTCTCAGCATCCTTACCCCAGTTGGAATCAAGCGTACAATTCCTGGGGCTAATACATCTCTCATCTAGATAAAATCAGACTTCCCTTCTTCCACTGGTTCAACCACATAGTGAGGCTGACAATCTTGGAAAAGCACGTTCACTAGGGGACTCAACAGCTTTGCCCACATTCTTCACATTAGAAGGAGAAGGAGAAGGAGAATGAGAAGGAGAAGGCGTAGGAGTTGGAGAGCCACCACCACGCACTACATAGTGATCAAACCGATTTACATCAGCCATATCATCAAGCCAAGCAAAACTGCTTAAAGGCTGCATATGGGGGATATGACTAACAAGGGACACATCAGGGGGGTTAGCTTTAACCTCGTTAGCTAAGAATTTATGGCGCATAGCACGCATTGTCAAACGTATGACATGCAAGAGGGCAACCCTATTATAAGTGAGTTCCCGCTCGCAGTAAGGGTCAAAAAAGTTGGGGCGATTTCGAGACCGAAAAGGGCGAAAAGTGCTACCGGCAGCGGGATGGCTACCACCTGATCTGGATTATATTGGAGGGGTCGCAGCAGTACTCACCCTACTTCCAGTAGGAAAATTGTCATCCTTCATAACAACTTGTATGGGGATAGGGGGAAAAGCAGAAGAAATAGAGGAAGTTTGCTCAAAACGCTCAACTGAGCGAGAAAGCTTAGGGGAAGAAACAGACTCAGTACGAGCATAGGGAGTACTTGGGTTCTAACTGTCAGAAGCGTCAGACATTTTTGGGATCTACAAACAACATAAAAACCCCAAAGACAAGAAAAATGGGGAGTAAAAGCAAAATCAGTTGTGCTCCAACGACAAATCTAAGCGAGATAAGAAAGGAAGGGAAGAAAAAAGGCAAGATTGAAGCAAATAAGCGCAACGAACAGCAAGAAGAAGGAAAGAATGCGTATGAATAGTAAAATTCAAAAATAAAAATTCAATCTTGCAAAGAAAACAAAGGGGGAATCTAATTTCGTAAACAAAAAAGAAATAAGGGTGCAAAGAACAAAGAAGAAGGTACAAAGAAAGTACCTTTCGTGAAGAAAAACCGCACACTCGACGGCACACCAGAGATGGCACACAACAACAATCGCAACCCCGAAAGATGAAAATCAAGCGAAGATGTTTGAAATACAATCAAAGGAAAAATAACCCCAATGCCGGGAAGAAATCAAGAACAATGAACAAATTGAAAGAGGCGAAGTTAATCACACAAAGACAAAATAAAAATTGACAAAAAGAAAGGGAGAATCACTTACAACAAAGGGTAGCAACCATTCACAAAAGAGCTATGACGGAAGAGAAAAGAGAGCAAAGAATTTTGAAAAAGGAGGAAGATGAAAAGAAAGGAAGTAAGAATAGGAAGTAAAAAAGAGGGGACAGTGAAATTAAATGTGGCATTTATAGGCAGGTTTAACTTAGTCTCTAAATTTCAAATCACCATACGGCCACAGTAAAATTATTGCACCCTGGATGGCCGACACGTGTCCCACGCATGCTAGACATCGTTCTCGCTAAAAAAAAAACCCTTCCTCTTCTTCAGCGAAAGTGATCAAAATTCCTCCCTATAAGTTCGTCATTCCTCACACTTCGCTCCTTGAACTAAGTATCGAGTAGGAGGATTGCTATTCAGTGACAAATCGCAGAGTATCAGTGAGGGGTACCAAGGGTCTCTTAGGTACTTTTCTTCGACACTCTTGTGAGAAAAAAGGATAGAGTGGAGTAACACCAAGGATCTCTTGGTACTGCACCACTTGATTCCTCAACATGTAAGCCCTCACCGTTCAAAGTAAGTGGCACAAAGACAAGCTCTCACATAGCAAGTTGGGCGCTAAAACAATAAGCACTCACTCTAGAAAATGATAACCTCCAAAAGTGTGAGCAAGTGCAAAATAAGCACACTTATAGTCTACAAAGATAAGACATGCTCAGCCAGAGCAAGGAGAGCAACAAAAGCAAATTTCTCAGCTTGAAGTGGGAAATTATCAAAATTTCTCGCTTAAACTCAGCTTTAATTTTTCAGCATTCAGCGGGGCGTGATCAAAATTCCTCGCTGAAACTTAGCTTGTAGTTTTTCAGCATTCAGCGGGGAGTGAACAAAATTCCTTGTTCAAGCTCAGCTCGTAATTTTTCAGCATTCAGCGGGGAGTGATCGAAATTTCCCACTCAACCTCAGCTCGTAATTTTTCAGCATCCAGCGAGAGTGACCATAATTCCTCGTTGCAAGCTCGTTATTCCTCAAACTTTAGCGGGAGTGATCGAAATTCCTCGCTGCAAGCTCGTTATTTCTCAAACTTCAGCGGGGGTGATCGGAATTCCTCGCTACAAGCTCGTTATTTCTCAAACTTCAGCGAGAGTGATCGAAATTCCTCGCTAGAGGCTCGTTATTTCTCAAACTTCAGCGTGAGTAATCAAAATTCCTCGCTGTAAGCTCGTTATTTCTCAAACTTCAGCAGGAGTGATCGAAATTCCTTGTTGCAAGCTCGTCACTTCTTCAAAACTTGAGGGCCTATTGTCGTCAACACCATTGTAATCAGTAACATCATCAACACTTTGCCACATGTTCTCTTAAGTCTTAGAACCACATGCACTCCTTAGACTTGAGGGGCTAGTTGTGTGGAGGGAGTCTTAGCTAGACGACTTGTAGAGTAATTATGGATAAGTTTGCACGCCCAAAACAGCTGGCATGAGATATCTCATACCACCTTTTGAGGGGCTAGTTGTATGGGATAGCTCCTGTTAAGCTATCACCACGCTCCCATCCTTGCTCATAAGGTGCGCACTCATCGCTTGAAGAATAATCAAAGGGGCTCATCAGTCCGTTAGAGTCGGCCTAGGGGCTGACTAAGTATGACTCCGCCCAAAGGAGATCATACACCTATAAGTAAGGAACCAAGTACAACGGAAAAGAGCTTAGACACACAAGTTATTACTCTCTCTCTCTCTATCTAAGTACACTTTTTCTCTCTAAACACATTCTAACTTAAGCATCGGAGGGGGGCTCCTCGAGCTACCCCCGAGCGTTGTTACGTTTGTCACCCTATGCAAGTTATCCAACTAGACCCAGCCCGCTCCAGTCCGAACCCCCTGATCCGTACCCGGAACACTTTAAATTTAAGAATCTTAGATATTAACAGTTTATGGGTGAATAATAATTAAACAAACATAATTATTTTCCATTAAACACCTATTTTGTAATTTGAAATGGCAAAAATACAAAAATAATACACTTCATTTTTTGAACTCAAAATTTTTCAGACAATGATTTATGTGCATAATTGTAGTTATTGCTATAATTTATCTCATGATCTACAAGTATGACCAAGTGAGCAAGCAAAAAAAGAAATCTTAACATGAAAATCGAAGGAAAAGTGCGAAAATGAACACAAATCTAAACATGCTCATATGAGGTTCAGTACTCAACCATTTTTCATGAAATTTGTTACAAAACACTCCATAAACATAGCATAACAACAAGGAACAAACAATTTCAAGAATTATGGACCGAATAGAAAAACCTCAAATTTGAAATTTAGGGTTCTTCGGTTTGAAATTCCTCAATTTTGACCAAAATTTGCGAAAATAGCAAGAAAAACTTACGTTGGATTGTAGAAAAATGGAATTGGAGGCAAGATTTCCTTTCTTTAGCTTCAAATGGAGGCAAAAATCGAGCTTTGTAGAGAGAAAGGGTCGAAAATGGTGAAAATGGAGAAGAGGAGAAGTGAGCTGCAGATCGTGTTCTTCGTTTCTTTTTAACGATTAAAATGCCACGCATAACTCTAAAAGTTCCCCGCGTGGCAGCACAACACAACTTTGTCTCCTGCGTGCGCCTGATTAGAGCGACTTCCAGAGTTCCGCGCGGATACTGGTCACTTAAAAGACCAGTATCTAGATTTTGATCCATTTTGAAAATTTCCTAACGGTTTCGTGCATTGTTAGACGTAATAACGCGCGGATTTTCAAAATCCTTTTATTGCTTTGCATTTTGTAGTTTATTTTCTTCTTTGATAATTTTTTGCATCATCCCGTATGCACACCGTGCTTTGTGCCTTCCCAAGCATACGTTTTGGATATTTTCTAAGAAGACGTTGGAAAAATATCACGTAGTGGTGCTTTACGTAAAAGCTCATAGACAATTTGGCATTTTTCCTGTACAACCCTTTAAGAAGTGCCACGTTTTAGTATTTTTGTCGTTACTTAAAAAAAATATCAAATTTTAGTATTTAGTGTAACATACAGCGTAAAATTTTATCACGTACATGCTGCGTAAAATTGCACTAGCAACGTGATCTGCCTCTCTTCAAAAACGGTAGAATCTTTTTTAGGCGTTTGTTTACGAGTCGACAAAGCGCACCGACTAACGTGGCAATGTCTACCCCCATTGGGTAAATATGCAAATAAGGTTAACTTGAAAACGATTTTGCTTCACCGGAAAATTAGGGTGTCCGTCCACCCCTTGTATAAAGAGCAACCCATGCTGAAGCTGCACGCATTTAGACACGTACCCCCAGTCCTGAGACGCGTGTTTTCATCTTGTGGAAAAAACTACTGAGAGAGTTGCTGATTTTCATCTCTCTCACTAGATTAGGATACAAGCCTCCAGTCTTAAGACTTGTATTTCCATCTTGTGGACATCGAATCTTTTTTTTGGTAGCGTATGCCAATCTTTTAATCAAGTGTTAGGCTACGAATGCCGAATCACTATCCCATTTATCATCTTTTTCTTGTTAAAATCATGGACTAAAGTTTAAATGACTGATCGTGAGACTTTAGACCGCCGATGCCGTATTGAGAGGGTACCATCCTCTTTTAATCTTTTTAAACTCGATACCTTTTCATGACATGACATCACCCAAGACCGCCTTTACATGTAAAAGTATTCTATACTTGTGAAGGGTCAATCTAGATGCCGTATTGAGAGGGTACCAATCCAACATTTAGCGAAGTGAGGATAACTTCAACATTCTCAACACCACTGAAAGATTCCTTATCTCTAAGGAACTTCACAGAATGAGTCATGAAATTTCCTTGACTACTTTGATCATTGTCTATTCTAGACTCGATCAAAGTGGAGCTAACTGTAGACATCTACTTTTGGTCCCCTGTCTCTTCGGAAGTTCTATGACGATAAATAATTTCATCTTTGTGTTGGATTGGAGTAATGAATGCCAATGGACTACTGATTGAATCCTAAACACATAAAACAGACTAGCTTGACCTAAAAGAAATGAACTAAAGCTCAATAAGACTAAGCCCGATCAGATATTAGGCCTAATCCAAGAGCTAAACCTAATTTCGGACGGATTTAGAGTGCCTAGATTTAATCTAGGCTGTCGTAGGAAAATCCATGCGTAAGTGAAGAAGTCGCACTCGGCAGC